CCTATGTTTCCAAACTTACTTATTTTAAATACTGCTATCCATGTTTCCAAACAAAAGGTTAAAGTACTTCTACTTTAATAAGATAGATATTTTGGTTGTGATTGTATAATACTTTTAGCGCAAATAGTAACTTTAGAAATATTACTTTGTTTACATTGAAATTTTACTTTATTTTCTCTTATTTACTCTTCAAAGAAAAGAAAACATATCTTATTATATAAAGTTTGGTTGTTCAAAATTACTAATTAACAAGATTGTGACACATGACAATTATATATTTATGATTGTGACATGTGTTAAACTATTTCATAATTAATATATATATTATAGATAATAACAAAAATGCATTTTATTAAAAACATAATTAGAAATATTATGTAATAGAAATTTTCCATTTTTAAAATCGTAAATCAATGATATTTACAAAAGAAATATTTGATAGTAATTTTCCATTTAATATTGTGGCATGTATTTAATTCTCATGATTAAAAATATGTATACTAAGATAATAAAAAATAATTTCAAAGATATTAATTTTAAAAAATATTTAAAATTTAAAGAAAAAAGAAGCTAAAAGTTTTTAATTATAGTTTTCCTTTTAACAAATCCTAAACACAAAGAGTTAAAATAAAATAAAAAACTAATTTTGAAACTAATAATTTTAAATATTTTTTAAAAGTACAAAAAATATAAAGAATGTTTAATTTTAGTTTTCTTTATTTTTACAAATCCAAAACAACAAACTATTCGCAAAATAGATTATTATCAATTTTTTCTTTTCTAAAATCCTAAAAAATATTATTTGATAGTAATTTTCCTATTATAATTTTGTATATGTAAAAATATATCATATTAAAAATATATATATATATACGAAGAAAATGAAAATGATTTTATAGATAAAAATATTTTTTAAAATTTTTTAATATCACTTTTACTAAACCACTTTCTTTTAAAAAATTTCAAACAAATAAAGATATGTAAAATAATTTATTTGATACTAATTTTCCTTTTCCAAAATTCCGAATAAAAGGTATTTGAAAAACCTATTTTATAGTAATTGTTCGAATCTAAGATCTTGAACATAAGAGAATTATTAAAGAATGTTTAATAGTTTTTTAAAAATCCTAAACAAAAAGTAGTAGAATAATTATTTCAAATATTTTTATGTTCTTTACTTCTTAAACTGATGATGATTTTTAATGTATATCTTAAGATAATAAATGAATTTTGAACATATTAATTTCTAAAAAAGAACTTATAAGTTTTGAATTTTAGTTTTTCTTTATACAAATCCTAAAATTACTTAAAATTGTAAAAAATGAATTAAAAAAAATATTGATTTCAAATGTTGTTTAAAATAAAATAAAATTAAAGGCGTTTAATTATAGATTTTCTTTCTACAAATCCTAAGAGCATGAACAACGCCCGCATCTTGTTTGATTCTTACCAAAAAGTTGGCGAAGGAGCCCGCCGAAATTACAAGAAGTGGATACAAAAATGCTAAAATAAGATTCAGACCTTGCACTGTTTTGCGGGCCCCACTGACATGTGACGGCCCGCAATTGGTTCATTTATTTTAATTTTGTTTTTCTTTTTTTTAGTCAAAAAGAAAAAAAATATTCTTAAGAACTTTTTTTATGGTTCTAGGGTTGATTATGCTCTAAGAAAAAATATTCGTAAAATCATTTATTTATTACCAAGTTGTCTTTTCTAAAATCCTAAAGAAGATATTATTTGATAGTAATTTTCATTTTAAAAGTTTTATATATATTAAATAAATCATGATTAGCAAATACTAAAATAATGAAAACAATTTTTAAAAATAGTTTAATTGATACTAAGATAATGGAAACAATATTTTATAGTAATTGTCCTTTTCTAAAACCCTGAACATAAGTAAATTATATAAGAGAGGTTAATATTAGTTTTCCTTTTTCCAAATCCAAAAACAAAAACAAGTTGTAGAATAATTCTTTCAAATATTATTTATGCTCTTTTCTTTTTAAGCTGGTGATTATTTTTAATATAAATATACTAAGATAATAAATACAAAATTTAAAGATATTAATTTTCAAAATTGTTTAAAAGTAGAAAAAAGAAGTTAAAAGTATTTAATTGTAATTTTAATTTTCACAAATCCTAAATAAAAATATTTATAATAATAAAAAAAGAATTTTAAAATATCAATTTTAAATATTGTGTAAAGTAAAAAAAATAAAGGGTGTTTAATTGTAGTTTTTGTTTGAAAATTCTAAACAAAAAATAATATTTGTAAAATATATTACTAATTACCAATTGGCTTTCCTAAAATTCTAAAGAAAATATTATTATAAAATATTATTTGATAGTAATTTTGCTTTTAAATTTTTTATATATGTTAAAATAAACCAGGCTTAACAAAATATATATACTAAGATGACAAAAAGTGATTTTACAAATAAATTTAATTTTAAAAATTAATTAATAGAAAATGTTTAAACCATTTTCTTGTACAAATTTAAACAAAAAAAATAGATTTACAAAATAATTTATTTGATACTAATTTTCCTTTTCTTAAATAATGAAGAAATGGTAATTGAAAAAATTATTTGTTACTAATTATCCTTTTCTAAAATCTTGAACATAAGAAAATTATAAAAGAGTGTCTAATAGTAGTCTTCCATTTTTTTTCAAATCCTAAACAAATAATATTTGTAAAATAATTATTTGAAATATTTTTTATGTTTGTTTTTGCTTAAACTGGTGATGATTTTTATTGTTGTTATATTTGTCATGCTGTCGTACGTTAGTTATTGTCATAGTTATACTAAGGTGTTTGTATGTAGTATAGATGTTTTGATATTGTATGTAAGTTAATGTGTCTATCATGCTTTTGTGTGTTTGTTTTATAGACGTTATAAAATTAGTTATGCTGTTTTTTTTCTTGAATTTCAAATTACTTATGTTGTTGTAGTTAAATTAATGTTAATGTCATTTGTTACCTTTATGTACTATTTTGCTTTTGTCTGATTGTTAAATTATTTAATTAAAAATCCAAACTGTAAAATAGTAGTAATATGAATTGTAAAATAGTAGTTAATAAATATTTAATAGTACTGAAATAATTATCTGATAGTAATATAATTTTCGGTAATTCTAAATAGAAGATAACTGTAAATGATTGTATGATAGTAATTTTTATTTTCCAAAATTTTTAACAAAATATAAAATAGTATTTGATAGTATTTTTGTTTTTAAGTTATAAATAAAAGAGTTTATAAAATATAATATTTTATTTTTCAAAATCATAAGAAAAATAATTTTTTTGAAAAAAATATTTAATAGTAATTTTAAATATAAATATTTTGATGATAAACATGATACTAAAAAAAAAAAATTAACTAGGATTTTGTCGTAATTGGTCTTTATATTGGTATTTGTATGTGTCTGGTTACACAAAAACAAACACATGTTTGGTATATTTTTGTGTTTGGTTATAAAAAATAGATTATTATTATTATTAACGTAAATGGTTTTTATGTGTTTAGTTAAAAAGAAACCATGTTCCATCGTCATCTTATTTGTTTGAACCGAGTTTGGTCGTGTATCAGTGAGGTGAGTGACTGGACTTGTCGGTGGGTTATTACAAAGGTGTAAGTAAAAGCGAGCAAAGAGAGAGGTTTTATTTATAATCGGGAATGAGTACAAAGAGAGTCCCCGGTGCTCGGAGAGCTCGGCCGGAGATAGTGTACGCACTAGACTGTGACAACGAAATAAGCAAGGTACGAAACCCTAATCTAAGTTGCCGCCTAGTGAGTCTATTTTTCGGATAATATCTCCTTGAGCTGCTTGCAGTCCTTAGATTCGTGTGCTTTGGACTTATGGTATGAGCAGTACGGTTTGCGCTCGTCAGCGTTAGGTTTCTGGGGTGCTGGTTCGCTCAGTTCCCTGTCTTCCTTTCGTTGGTAGTGATTCCACCCTTTGGCGCGAACTACGACTGTTGAGTCGGAGATGGCATCTTCATCTACCATGTAAACGAAGCTCTTCTTTTTCGGCTGCTTCTCGTCTGCCGAGTGTTGTCTCGGCTCCTGTTTCGAGTCGGCAGTCTTGTTCGGCGTTGGTTTATTTGCATGTTGCTTGCTTATCATCGCCTTGGTATCTTCTTCCATTCGGATGAAGTTGTTTGAGCGCGCGATGGCGTCTTGAAGCGATGTTGTTGGGTTGCGATAGAGGTCCTCCTGGAACTTGGAGTAGATGTAAAGCGTATTTTTCAGGGCATCCACTGCGATGTTATCGGGGACGTCTACCTTGGAAACGACCTCCTTGAATTTTTCCATGAAGTCTCTTAGGGATTGACCATGCAGTTGTGACAGCTTCCATAAGTCGGAGGACGTAGCTTTTTGGTTGGTAAACATGATGTAATGTTTTAGGAAGGCCGTCGATAGGTCGCGGAAAGTGTCGATGGAGTTCTCTGGCAGGCGGGAGAACCAATTCAACGCAGCCCCCTCGAGGCTCTCGACGAAGCGTTGGCAAAAACCGGCATCTCTTTTGGCGTCAGTGAATTGGCTCGACCCATAGCGATGTTGAACGCCGTCA